TTTTACTATTTTGCAGCATATACATTTGTTACTCTGCTCGTATCTTCGCCTTTTCATGAGTGTGTAGCCTCAGTAAACACAGCCACCCCATCGTCCACCGGCATCTAAAGACTAAACCGCGTAAAGTTTTGAGAGTAAAACAATGTGGAGGAGACATTTCATAACGGCCTTCTCAAGAAACAGAAGCGAGCGTGATCCAATCCTCACCGGGCCACGCCTCCTCAGTAGCTCCAAGCCCGCCCCTAAACCCACCCCCTTACCTGCCTAGGAACGCTCGCTTGAGTCGCGCTGACAGTCTCCATGGAAACGCGACTTGTTCGTGGAGGCCTCGAGCGCTTCTTTCCGTTCGATGGAAGCCTCCAGGAGGTTGAAACAGTTGACGAGTGACGAAGGCTCCAAGAGGGCGCTGCGTGTGATCGAGCTTTACAGTAACAGAGGGGCAGGTAAATTTCCAGGTCGTCTGGAGAGTTGAAGCGAGCGGGGGGAGGTTGTCGGTGTTGTTGATGCCCGGTGACTGAGGCGGTCCACAGTCGGGTCATCACCGCCGCCCCCGTCCCGCGCAGTAATACTTCCCTTCACTACAGCCTCCAAGGTGGGGAAGATGCACTTGTTGAATGCCTGTATGTCGCATGGCTGGTAAGGAAACGAGCCCTGCCACAGGAAACGACTTGAGTTCTCTTCTGAATAGAGATCAGGATTACTAAATTGTTCCACAGTACCTGTTAGCAGTAGCGTGTATGTATTCAAATTTTTCTTTCAGCAAAAAACAAAAACCGTTTTGTAAGGTCCTGGAGAATGAGAGAGGGTTTCCAACTCAAAAATGTTCAAGTGTTCTTTTTACCTGAGCAAGTGCTTGGGGTTGGAGTAACACTACTGCAGTTGGTTAGTGCTTATAAGTTGATGGATGTAGAATTGTAGAAGTTACTCCACTTCTGTTTAGCAGTAGATTTAAGGGGCAGTGTTGACTCAATACATTTTTATATCTGAGCACAAAATGGTGCCCCCTACAGGCCTAACTTTGTAGCCTTCAAAACGGGCACCATTACAGCAATTTCATATTGTGGGTGACCCTAATCCGCTGGCAAAACAGAATATGTGCTCCCCACCCCACAGTTCTATCTGTCCTCCTTACCACCCTCCCACTGTCGTGGCAGTGGGTGAGTGGGTTTGGGACCACAGTGGTCCGTCTGTGGCCAGTGACAGGCCTTTTTCCATCTCACCAGAGCTGTGACTGCAACAGCATCAGGACCCTCTTGACCCCCCAGCAGCTTAGACTACATGCCACCAGGCCCATGCCTTTGGTAGGTGCCTCATATGGGAGAAGAGGGTCTAAGCTCAGTGGGGAACCTGCTTGGCATGCAGGAGGTGCCAGGTTCAATCCTTGGCATCTCCAGTTAAAAGATCAGGCAGCAGATGATATAAAAGATCTTTGCCTGAGACCCTGGAGCGCCACCATCAGTCAGAGTAGACAGTAATGATCTAGAATAGACCAGTGGTCTGACTTGTTATGGAGCTGCGGTGGCTCAAGTGGTTAAGACGCTGAACTGCAGGCTGTGGAAGGTCAGTAGTTCAGCAGTTCGAGACCCGAGTGTGCCGCATGACGGAGTGAGCTCCCCTCTCTAGTTCCAGCTCCTGCCATCCTAGCAGTTTGAAAGCAAGACATTGCAAGTAGATAAATAGGTACCACTTCGGTGGGAAGGTAACAGCGTTCCGTGCACCTTGGTGTTTAGTCATGCTGGCCACATGACCACGGAAACATCTTCAGACAGCGCTGGCTCTTCGGCTTTGAAACAGAGATGAGCACCGCAACCCTAGAGTAGGATTCGACTGGCTTTCGAGCAAGGGAAAACTTTACCTTTACCTTTTACTGACTTGTTATAAGGCAGCAGCGTGTGTTCGTGGAATGGAGCAAGGAGAAGGGGGCAAAGGCTGTATGCCATGTTGCATCCAGGAAAGAATGGAAGGGTGTGTGTGACCTGGCTACTAAATTTCATTTCACTATTTTGATATATATGAATTTTTAAAAGGTGAAACACTCTGCATATACTCCAGTCCAAGCAAGGCATTCTTGAAAACAGGCATTTCCAAAGCAAAGTTGCATCCTGCCAGAAAAGAAGAAGAACTCTGCACATGATCAGAGGCAGGCTTTCTGAAAAGTGAAACAGGTGTACACTGCTCCTCACTGGATCCAAAATCCTTATCCAGCTATGCTACCTGGAAACTTTGCTGCTATACCAGTTTGATGTGGTGGTTAGGAGCACGGACTCTAATCTGGGAGAACCAGGTTTGATTCTCCACTCCTCCACATGCAGCTGCTGGTGTCACCTTGGGTCAGTCATAAGTTCTTTCAGAGCTGTTTTCTCAAGAGCAGCTCTCTCTCGAGCTCCCTCAGCCCCCCTTCAGTGTCTGTCTTGGGGAGGGGAACGGAAAGGAGATTGTAAGATGCTCTTCCTTCGGGTACTGAAGGGCAGGGTATAAATCCAATCTCTTCTCATAGTAACCCCTAATCCACAGTGGCAGTTTTAGCTGCCACCCTCCCCCATTACCTCGCAGCTAAGAGATCATGATCACTCATATCTTTATCATATCTTTCCCAATGGTGTTTTCAAATGACAATCATTTATCCGTTGTAATCACTCCCACCTAGATTGCCAGTTCCAGGCTGGGAAATACCTGGAAATTTTGGGGGTGAAGCCTGAGGGGGGTGGGGTTTGGAGAGGGGAGGGACTTCAATGGGATAGAACGCCATAGAGTCCACCTTCCAGAGCGGCTGTTTTCTCCAGGTAAACTGATTTCTGTTGCCTTGGAGATCAGTTGTAATCTATATATCTAATTCCCAACATGCCCCCAGTGTGCGGATATCTAAATCCGCACATCGGGGGCACCTGGGGGGCAGGGAGATTTTCCTGCACATTTGAGGCAATCCCCAGATGTGCAGAAAAATCTAAAAAGTTGAAAAAAGTATATGGGGGATATTTAAATCCCCCGAAAAGTAAAAGAGCCTTCCCTGCGCATGCGCAGAGAAAGCACTTACCAACAGAAACTGTGGCTGCTGGTGGCGGCGGTGCAGGAAGAGAAGCCCTGGCAGCTGGGAGCCGCGGCCATTGCTGGGGGGGGGGGCATTGCCGTCGTTGCTGCTGGCAGCGGCAGCAGGAGAGGAAGAAGAGCCACACAGGGCTTGCCGCCTTTGCTGCTCGCTGCCGCGGTGGCTTGGGGGAGGAAACCTTGGAGGGCTGGTGGCTACCTGCAGGCATTGCTCCTGTTATCACGTGTGGGGTTGAAATCCTGGCGAGCTCAACCGGCCTTCTGTTGGGCTCACATGCAGCCAGGTGGCGGCGGTGCAGGAAGAGAAGCCCTGGCAGCTGGGAGCCGCGGCCATTGCTGGGGGGGGGGGCATTGCCGTCGTTGCTGCTGGCAGCGGCAGCAGGAGAGGAAGAAGAGCCACACAGGGCTTGCCGCCTTTGCTGCTCGCTGCCGCGGTGGCTTGGGGGAGGAAACCTTGGAGGGCTGGTGGCTACCTGCAGCCATTGCTCCTGTTATCGCGTGTGTGGGGGGGAATCCTGGCGAGCTCAACGGACCTCCTGTTGGGCTCACGTGCAGCCACTGCCGCGTCCTCCTCTGTGCGGAGCTCCTGGTGCTTCAGCAGGCGAGCCACCCAGGAGCCGTGGGGAATACCTCCCCCCCATGAGTATCGTGGGTCCCGCCTCTTGTAGCAGTTGTAATAGCAGGAGATCTCCAGCCACCACCCGGAGGTTGGCAACCTTACTTCCACCAATTTTCCAAGAATTCTTATTGGCAGAGACAGGCCTTTCAAATTTTCCTATTTTAAAGCTGGGGGAATGGGCTTCCTCAATACTCCCAATCAATGAAATCTGAATTTTAGAAAACATAACCTGTTCTTCAGTGCCCCTGTGAGGCATCCCCCATGTTTCATAACAGTGAATTCAGTTCATTACAGATTCAGATGATGGGGAACCACATAAAATGTACTGTGTGGTACCTTCATTGACATCAAGAGGTGATTATTTATATTCCTTATTACCAGTCCAATGTTACCAGTCCTTCTACAACCATATGGAGATGCTGGAAAATTGGAAGGTAGAAACAATATGGTCAGATATTACAGCTGGCAGCCTCCGGCATACTATTGCAAGTGCTATGTAGTGAGTTTATATATGGCTGCCTTGTTGCTTCTTGTTACCTGGGTCTACCAGATTAATGATAGATATGATCTTCGTTTGTCTGCCAGTTAAAGTAGCAACTGCTCTTCTGGCCATATGTATGTGTTATGAAGAAAAACACCACTGCTACCCCCTTGCCAGTGGGAATAAGGACACTTCTAAGTAGAGTGTATGTAAGATTTTAAGTTGTATCATAGTCTGGAAGCAAGGAGACACAGTAGGGTTGCCAAGTAAATGGAATGTTGGTTAAAAAATAGTATTTGAGAACTGAAGAAGAAGAGATTGGATTTATACCCCGCCCTTCACTACCCAAAGGTGTCTCAGAGCGGCTTACAAACTCCTTTCCCTTCCCCTCCCCACAACAGACACCCTGTGAGGTAGGTGGGGCTGAGAGAGCTCTTTTGAGAACTGCTCTTTCAAGAACAGCTGTGACAGAACTATGGCTTGCCTAAGGTCATCCAACAGCTGCAAGTGGAGTAGTGGGGAATCAAACCTGGTTCTCCCAGATTAGAGTAATGGAAGCTGCTTTACTTGCTGTGAGTCATTGGTCCTGCAACACAACTACATATATGGTTTAACATATCTGATTTTAGGAACTCCACTGGCAGAGCAGTCAGCCATTGTTTGGTTCATTTAAAAAGATGTATTTCACATGTGAAACAACGGCTTCTTGAATATTCTTTTATTCTCAGCTTTCCTAATGGCTACTGATCCCCTCTGTTGGCTGACCAGGTTGTTTCTGAAAGGCTGAGAGACTTCAGGAACATGTGACATTGTTTCGTAACAAATAATCCATCCATTGTCTATTGATGGTGCAGAATGACTCACTCTCAAGCTGAAAATGTCATCAAGAACATCATCCGTGAAATAGGACAAGAATGTGCCATGAAGGGTCAAACTGTATCGGAAACTCTGGTGGCTTTCATGGTAAGGGTAAAATAGATATTGTACCAGTAGGTTGAGTTGAAATGCTCTTGTAGCTGTGTTAATTTCACTCCTGTAGCTTTAAAACAATAATGTCTCTTAGGAAATGATCCAGTGGGGGATCTTTGGCTGCATGTATGCACCCACATGGCTGTGCATACCTAGATACATTTGTACATCAAGTGCAGGCCTCAGTCCTTTTCAGTTGCTGTTCCCCTTCTGGAGGAGGTACAGAAATCTACTCTCTGGCTTCCTTTTGGAGGCTGTTTTTGGTTTGATCTGAATTGCTCTTGTACTGCTGATTTATGTTGGTTCTATTACTTGTAGCTGATCTCTTAGTTGATACTGATCCAAATGTGACGTTGGCAGTGGCAAAGTTTTTATCTGTAACCCTGGGTGGTATTAAATGAATTGACTCTTTTAGGCAGTCAATATATATTTGGTAACCAAATTGCTTAATTTTGTGAAATTTTAATTGTAATTGTAATGTACTGTATATATATGTTGTATTTTGTATTATACCCTGTCTATTTGCTTATGATTTATGGGTCTATGAGCAATAAAAATGAATGGAATGGAATGTTGGCTCCATTGTTGTAAATTTTAAACAATTTTGTAAATTATCCTGAATTTACAGAATAGGGTTTTAAAGTAAATACCCCTGCATCTGATTGCAGAACAGTAAAGGCTAGCTGAGCATAAAATTGCATTTTGTGTGACTGGGCTGCAGAACATAGACTATATAAGCATTCTAGGTTGTTGTAGGTCTTCAGGGAAGATGGTGCCTGATTTGTAAATCCATGCTATTACAAGCGACAAATTCATATTCCAGAACAGGTAGCTATGGGATATAGTACCATTACTAACTGTGAGCCAGCTGCAAATTCTGCATAACCTAACCCAGCATTCAGAGTTCTGTAGACACTGCTTCTGGTAGCTGTGGAAAGGTAAAAGCCACAGTCTTGCACAGAGCAGCTGATGGGAATGGTTGTCAGCCCCTTCCTAAAACCACCATCCTGGATGACAGAGGAGTTCTGGATAAAGCACAGAGGTCTTTAATTCCTTTGAATTATTGAAACTTCCAACTAAGTATATTTAAATTAGACTTGAGTGTATTCCTATCCATTTGAGAAATGCTTTTTAGTGGGAAAACTTGGAGCAACTGCTGTTTATAATCTACATAGTTCTGCAGTCAAATTTAGGAGTAAGACTTACTTCAGAACAAATGTTGAGTGGAAATGCTAGGTGAAAAAGACTTTTTATGATACCACTGAATTCCAAAACCTCTCTTGTTGATTTTCAGGTGAAAGCTGTTGTGTTGGATCCAAGGAATGAATTTAATGTAGACAGAACTCTTACAAAAGCTGATGTACAAAAACTTATTAAGGTAATTCCCACTGTTGGAACTTGTTTAAAAGGATTATTTTTGACAACCATTATTTCTGTATCTATGAATGCATTAAGATAGTAAGAAAATAAAAAATTATCTTGGGCAACTGGCTTGATTTTAGCCAATTAATGAAGTCATTAAAAGAAATATAGCAAATGCTATTCTGAAGAAGGCAAATTATCTACAGTTTTGCTAACGTGAGTGATCTATGTTGTTTAATCGTTGCGGAAAAAAATCTTAAATACATTTCTGGAGTATAGAGATACATCTGTCTTGATTCAGAAATTCACCTTTACCTCTAATGATAAAGCACTTCACCTTTACCTCTAATGATAAAAAGCATCTTTCAAGAAGAGACAGTTTTGACTAATCCAAATGAAAATCCACATGTCTAATCTATCTTTCCCCTAAATTTGTATCTCACAGAAGCTCTCTTGCCAAGCTCCCACATCTTGGTGGGGTGTGTACGAAGATGTTCCCAGTGTATTGTACCAAAAGCAGCAGTTCTCTGCACAGTTAGCTCAAATTCCCATTAAATTAGTGGGACTGAAGTGGGCTTGTTGTGCACAGAACTGCAGACAAAATTATTGTTTGTTTATAGCTTTCATCAAATAAAGCTTTTGCTTATAGTTTTTGCTTATAGCTTTCATCAAATACACATTTCCATCACATAAATAAAACCCAAATTTCCACATTTATACCAACCCAAAATCATTTGAAGCCAATGATGTCAAGTCCTGGGTGCAATCACTCTCACAAACACTCTTGTAGCAGCAAGATTTGTTTATTAAGAGGTAGAGATGTTCCAAGCATAGACAGCTTCTATGTTGGGACTGGGTCCCAGACACCAGTTCCGCCAATATACTGAAAGCAAGAAATTCCACATATGCCAAGCAACCAGTCATTGCTCCCATTTGGCCCACCACACGTCTGCCCTTGCGACTGCCCCTAACACCTCCAAGCTAACGGTTATATTATCTAAAAGCTCCCCAGACTACAAGATCATATACTTCTCAACACAGTCAGGAGGCCCCTGCATGAGAACTGTTACAAGCTGGCACTAACCAAGCAAAGCAGCAGCTGTACACATCCCTTCCCCCCCCACCCAGTTCCCAGCAGAGATAATAAACAGCAATGAAGAAGAGCAAGGTTGCATGCAACATAGGAGCTGTATAAGAATACATGTGAATCCATAACACAACAAATGGAATAATGAAATATGGGAAAATAATCCCTAAGGCAACAGAACATGAGTGTAAGAAACAGGAAATATTTGGCAAGTGAGGCCCGAGCTTGACATACTGGCCCTCCTGAGGCCGCCCTTCAGCACCCAGGCTTGTGACAATGTTTTCTACTTCCTTTATGTCTGCCTTACTGAAAGCCGTTTTAAATTTCTCCACCCAAGGCTTGGGGCTTTATTTATATATTTGTTCGATTTATATATCGCTCTCCCCGCAGATGGGCTCAGGGTGGTTCACAACAGTTTCAATACAATACCATTAAAACAAGAATTAAAATAACAATTAAAACAGTAAAACCATAATATACCATGCAACGATTAATTCTGATCAGCAGTACTGATATTAAGATCCGGCCACAGATGCCAATTCAGCAGTACCGATGTTAAGATCCAGGCTGTTGAGAAGGGGGGAGCCAGGAAAAGAAAGGGACGCCTGCTGCCTCAACCAAAGCCCTGGCAGAAGACCTCCATCTTACAGGCCCTGCGGAACTGCAATAGATCCCGTAGGGCCCTGATCTCATATGGGTGCTCATTCCACCAGGTAGTAGCCAGGGCCGAAAAAGCCCTGGTCCTGGTTGAGACTAGTCAGACGTCCCTGGGGCCGGGGACTACTAGAAGATGTTGATTCATAGACCTCAGTGTCCTCCGGGGCTCATATGAGGAGAGATAGTCTTGAAGGTATGCTGACCCCTGGTTGTATAGGGCTTTGAAGGTAAGCACCAGCATCTTGAAACGGATCCGGAATTCGATAGGCAGCCAGTGCAGTTCACGTAGCACTGGGTGGATGCGAGCCCGCACAGGCATTGCTGTCAACATCCGCGCTGCTGCGTTCTGCACTAGCTGCAACTTCTGGAGCAGGATCAAGGGCAGCCCCAAATAGAAAGAGTTACAATAATCCAGTCTGGAAGTGACCATTGCATGGGTCACTGTAGCTAGGTCCCGTGGGGTGAGATAAGGGGCCAACTGCCTGATCTGCCTCAGATGAAAAAAGGGCGGCCTGGCAGTGGCGGGGACCTGGACCTACATAGAAAGGGAGGCATCCAGGAACACCCCCAGACTCTTCACCCTTGACACTGGCACCAATAGGGCCCCATCAAAGGTTGGGAGCCTGATTCCCTGACTCAACCCCCGACAGTCCAGGTACAGGACCTCCATCTTAGATGGATTTAACTTCAGTTGGCTGTGTCACAATCATCCAGCCACAGCCTGTAATGCCCTGTCCAGATCACCTGGAACTGTGTCTGGGCCTTCAGTTGGAATTGGAATTCACTGCCACAGGAAGTGGTGGCGGCTACAAGCATGGACAGCTTCAAAAGGGAATTAGATAAGCATATGGAGCAGAGGTCCATCAGTGGCTATTAGCCACAAGGTATAGATAGGGGCTCTGGGGCAAATGATGCTCTGTCATCTTGGTGCTTGGGGGGGGTCAACAGTGGGATGGCTTCTAATGTCCTGGCCCCACTGGTGGACCTCCTGATGGCACTGGTATTTCTGGCCACTGTGACACAGAGTGTTGGACTGGATGGGCCTTTGGCCTGATCCAACATTGGCATCTCTTATGTTCTTATGTTCTTATCAGTAGATCAGTAGATAGTCCAGTAGATAGGTCGTGTCGTCTGTCCATCAGTAGATAGAGCTAGGTGTCATGTGCATACTGGTGACAACCCAGCCCATACCCTCGGATAATCTGGGCAAGGGGGCACATATAGATGTTGAACAACATGGGGGAGATAATTGCTTCCTGTGGCACACCACATTCCAGCAGGTGTCATTGAGATAACTCCCCCCCCCAAGTGCCACCCTCTGTCCCTGATGCTGGAGGAAGGAGGTCAGCCACTGCAAGGCAAGCCCCCGTATCCTGGTGTTGGCAAGGCAGTGGGTTAACACCTCATGGTCAACCATATTGAACGCCACCAATAGATCAAGAAGAATCAGCAGTGCCGATCCGCCTTGATCCAGATGTCTCACAAGGGCGGCCAGCACTGTCTCAGTCCTGTGGGTAGGGCGAAAGCTGGACTGGAAGGGATCCAGGATCTTAGCTTCATCCAGGAAGACCTGAAGCTGTGATGTGACTGCCCTCTCTACCACCTTGCCCAGGAATGGTAGATTGGACACTGGGCGGTAGTTAAGGGCCATTGAGTCCAACAAAGGTTTTTTAAGGAGAGGGCGAACCACTGCTTCCTTTCAATCCCTCTGGGAAGGTCCCTGTTGAGAGGGACAAGTTGATAATCTCCCTCAGGGGGTTCTGCACCTCATCGCCGCAGGCTTTAACCAGCCACGATGGGCAAGGATCCAGGGGGCAAGTAGTAGGCCTCACAGCTACCAGGATCCTGTTGACTTCGTCCTGGGAGAGCAGACTGAAGTGGTCCAAAACTGGACCTGAAGATGGCCAGTGGGCTTCCAGTTCGCTTATTGTATCAATTGTGCCCGGGAGGTTGTAGTGGAGCAACAAGACTTTATCTGTAATATAGCTCGCAAATGCCTCACAGCTGATAGCCAATTCCCTAGCATTTGGTGTGCCTTGAGGCAAAGTAATTAATGACTGGATAGTTCTAAATAATTGAGCCTGGCGAGAGTTAGCAGACGCAATGGAGGTCGTGTAGAAATTTCTCTTCGCAGCCTTCACTGCCATCTTATAGGTTTTCACAAACAACCTATAGGATTCTTGTAGCTTCGTCATGAGCCTACCACCACCCTCTCTCTAGTCGTCTTAGCTCTCATTTCATCTGCCATAGCTCCAAGGTATACCATGGAGCTAGTTTGGTACAATGGGAAAGAGGGCGCCGGGGAGTGACCTCATCGATGGCTTCAGAAAGATGGGAATACCAGTCTTCCACCAGCACATCCAACGAGCTGCCAGAGGGAATTGGACCCCGCAGAACTTCCTGGAACCTGTTAAAGTCCATTTGACTCCACAGGCAAGCATAAATTTGCTTGCTGCCTAAACAGGGAGGGTTAGGAATACCCAGCCAAGCCTTCAGGACAAGGTGGTCTGACCATGGAACTGCATCAACAGTAATCCAGTCCACCATAATCCCCGACGCAAAGATAAGATCCAGCATGTGGCCTGTTTGATGCGTGGGGGTCGAAACAAACTGGGAGAGTCCCAGTGCTTCCATGGAAGTCCATGGCCTGAGAAGAGGCTGCATCATCCGCATGGACATTGAAGCCTCCCAGAACTAAAAGCTTGGGGTATTCCATGGCCCAGCTAGATACAGCCTTCAATATGTCTGACAGGGCATTTGCCGGTGGGTTAGGCAAACTCTCCTTGGCCTCCCACACCAGGCCAACACATTCAGTGCCGGCAGTCTTTGCCTCTGGGAGTCGCCTGAAGGAGAAAGCCTCCCGGATGAGTAATGCCACTCCCCCTCCTGCCCATCAGTCTGAAACTGGTGAAGGACTGAGAAACCTGGGGGGGGGCAGTTGGTTCAGGGTAACAGTTTCACCCTCCCTCACCCAGGTCTCAGTCATGCAAGCCAGGTCTACTGCTTGTTTTCCCTAGTTTCCCCCTGCTTTAGCTTGGCTCCGAGTAACCACTGCCCCCCCCCAACTGGGCTGGGGTGAACATAGAGTCTATAATTTCCTCTTTCTGACTGGCATGTTCGGGAAGGTGCGAGAGTGCATCAGCCAGAAAGTTAGATTTCCCAGGAAGGTGCTTAAGTGTAAATTGAAACTTGGAGAAAAACTCCGCCCATCTCAACTGCTTTGCACTGAGTCGGCGGGGGGTATGTAGGTGGTGGACCTCCTGATGGCACCTGGTATTTCTGGCCACTGTGTGATACAGAGTGTTGGACTGGATGGGCCTTTGGCCTGATCCAACATTGGCGTCTCTTATGTTCTTATGTTCTTATGAGTCGGCGGGGAGTATGTAGGACTTCTAGTTTTTTGTGATCAGTCCAGACTTCAAATGGCCCCTTGGCCCCTTCCAGCCCGTGTCTCCAGGTAGTCAGAGCCAGTTTAATGGCCACAGCCTCTTTGTCCCAGACTGCCTGATGTCTCTCAGCATCAGAAAACTTTTTTGATACATAGGCAAGGGGGTGTAGTTTCCCATCCTCCCAGCCGCTGGAGGATTGCCCCCCCCCGCCACATCTGAGGCATTGCACAATGAAGGGCTTTCTCTTATCAGGGTGCCTCAAGACAGCTTCAGACATAAACAGTGTCTTCAGTCTTTCAAAGGCTCTCTGACATTCCTCTGTCCAATTTAATTTACTGCCAGGCCTTTTATAATTTGACCATTTTCCTTTAGTTTTCAACAAATCTGTCAGGGGCAAGGCCACGTGAGCAAAATTTGGTATGAAGGGGAGGTAAAAATTGGCAAAACCCAAGAAGGCTTGTAATTGCCTCCTTGTCTGAGTAGGCGCCCACCCCAACACATCCTTCACTTTTGTAGAGTCCATCCTCAATCCTCTTCTTGAAATTCTATAGCCCAAAAAGTCCAACTCCTCTTTATGGAATTTGCACTTAGACAGTTTCACAAACAGCTTGTTTTGGTAAAGGGTTTTCAAGACACTTCTGACAAGTTGCATAAGGGAGTCTTTATCTTAGGTGTAAATAAAAATGTCATCCAGGTAAATAAGAACCCCTTTGAACAGATATTTGTTTAACACCTTGTTAATAAAATTCATAAATACTCCAGGGATTCCAGAGACCCCAGAAGGCATCACCAAATACTCGAACTGCCTCAGTGGGGTATTAAAGGCTGTCTTGTATTCATCTCCCTCACGAATGCACACTCAGAAATATGCATCTTGCAAGTCCAATTTAGTGAAGATTCAGCCTTTTGTGGCCTCCACAAAAGGCTGAGTCTTTGATCAGCGGGATGGGGGTAAGCATTAGACACTGATATTGCATTCAGACCCTGATAATCGGTACACAATCTTAACCCCCCATCTTTTTTCTTGCAGAAAAGCATAGGGGGGCTGTGAAAGGGGGAAGTCACAGGTCTGATAAATTCTCTAGCCAAGTTCTTGTCTATAAACTTTCTCCTTTTCTGTCGGGCTCATCGAGTACAGCTTTCCCTTAGTAGCTTTTGGCCAGGGAGAATCTCAATAGCACAGTCAGTATGCCGATGGGGAGGGAGCTCATCAGCTTCCTTCTCTTCAAACACTTTTGACAAGTCTCTGTACTCAACGGAGATCTGGTTTAACTCTTCCCTGGCCAGACGCACCTGCTCGGGCACTGGCTGTGGCTCCCCCCCCCTGGGTTCCAAACATGTCTGACAGTGGGGGTCCAAGAATCGGAGGGTTTCCAGGCTCCAATGAATATAAGGGCCATGTGCTCTGAGCCAGGGGCTTCCCAACACCATTGGGGACTTGGCAGAAGGGTTCTTTAGGAAGGCCCTTAATTCCCAGCGGGAGCCCACAAGGACTCCCCCTTCATGGGGGTTCTATCCATCTGAGAAAGCACCAGGGGCTCTCTCAACTCTTGTAATTCTGCCCCCAACCCTGCTACCAAGGCTGGGATGATCATGTCTCTAGTGCATCCTATGAGAGCTTGTACTCTGATGTGGGTTCTGACAGGGGGGGGGGGGTTAACCACAGTCACAGTCATAAAAAATAAGGGGGAAGAGGGCCTCACCGACTCTGGCACTGGAGAAGCTTGGACCTGCCACTTAGCACCTTTCACAGGAGGTCCTTGGCATTTCCTGCCAGCGGTTGAGATTCCTCTTTGCTAGATGAGATGCTCTCCAATTCCACTCCCCCTCCTCACTGGAGGGCATTCGGAAGCTTGAGATGACCTGCTGACAGCTTGAACTTCTTTTCCTTCAGCTTGCACTCTCCCTTCTTTGTCACACTGGGGCTCTGCTCCCGAGGACAGTCAGCTGTGAAATGGCCAGGGCCCCCACACTTTAGGTACAAGCCCCAACACACCCTCTGCTCTGTCACTCCCTTTCCCCGGGAACCGGCTCTGCTGTGCCTTCACCTCCCAGTCAGCACCTTGCGTTTTCGCTGGCCCCATTGGAGGTTTGGGATGATACATCTTCAGGACGTGGCAACGATTCTCAGCCTCACACGCCACTTGAATCCAGCCATTCAAAGTCACTGGGTTCTCTTGGGCCAGTGCTTTGTCCAGGATCGTGTGGTTCAGGCCAGGATGACAGACAAATGATCTCAAATCTGTTGTCGAAGGCTTTCACAGCTGGAGTTTGTTAGTTGTTGTAGATTTTCCAGGCTGTGTGGCCGTGGTGCTACAATGCCAAGACCACGGCCATACAGCCTGGAAAAATCTAAAACTAACAATCTCAAATCCATTTAATATCACATAGCACCCAACAATACTTTTAGTTTAAAAGAAAATATTTTTAAAAAGCTTTTAATCTCCATTGTCTGCCTATGTGTTGGAATAAACTGGAATCACCCTCATTTTCTCCTGAAAATGTATTAGCATACAATTAGTGGTGTGTTACGTAGGTTTTTCTTTTGGCTTATGTGTTTATCTGCATTGTTTCCATTTCTTTATTCCTAGTCCTCCTGCATTTAGTGGATGTGGTATGCTGTCTAAATGATTTTTTAAAATATTTTGTGATCCACCGTCTGTCTTTGTGAGAAAGGTGGGCTATAAATTAAGTAAAATAAATAAGATAAATAATTGTGTGAACACAAATTAAAATAAAACATTCTGTTAAAATGGAATGAAAATCCAGTGAATGAATGACATTCAGTGTTTTCAGCCATAGTATTTATAGTTTTAAAATGTACCTCACATAGATTGCCTTCCAAAGACAACAGCACATATCAGTGGTTCTCAATTTGTGTGGAAGGAGGAGTCTCCCATGACAATGGTGCGAAATACCTGAAGGGAGGGCATGATTTTCCAGGGAAGGACAGGATCTTAAGTAGGTGATGCCTATCCTCAGCATAGAACCCCATGAATCACATTAGATTATGAACAGAAGTGTTTATTTATTTATTTATTTATTCAATTTGTATCCCGCTCCCATCCTCACAAACAGGGCTCTGGGTGGGTTCCTACAATTCTCACAATTTATACAGAGCCACTAGACCATCGAGCCCAGCCTACTGATTCACACAGTGGCCAACCAGTTGCACTGGAGGGCCAAACAAACAGGGCATAGAGTTCAAGGTCCTCCCATGATGCTGCCTTCCTGTGTGTGATTTTTAGAAAGGGGGGACAGTGATGTCCTGTTCTGTTACTTTCCTAATGCCAGTGTTGACTAGTACTCCTTGAATGTAGAAACAGGAAGCTGCATACAACCGCACATGAGAGTCTCCACATACTTACTTGTGGAACATATACTGGCGTTAGGCTGAGAGGGGGAGCATAAAAGTCAGAGGTCATTTTGGGGGGATCGCGGGGGATCGCAGTTCCCCCGGGTGAGGTATGGGGGCGGGGCACATGATGAAGCCCCGCCCCCTGCTTCCGGCCGCCCCGCTTCCGGCTCTCATTCAGCCAGGAGGAGGCAGGAGAAGAGGGAGGGTAAGTTGCTTCCTTCCTGCC